CAGCGGCGGAGGTGGTGGTGGTGGTGCCCACACCACTCCAACAGTGTGAAAACGTCTTTTCGAGTGCCCCTTGATTGCTTCACCGGGTCAGGCAGTTTCCTAACTCGCTTTTCTGGTAGTGCTAGCTGGTGGTCTCGACGCCTAACCTGTAGAAGAGTGGAAGTTTTTATAGCCCCCGCCCTGTCCCCTCACTGTCTCACCCACGTGAGCAGTGCCTTTTCAGATTTCTTCTTTTCCTCATACATGATGGGGAAAATGTGCTTTTTTTTTTCAGGTTCTGTTTTTGCATGTACGGGATGTATAGTGGCAAGTTTCTTCAGTCACCTTAAATAGTATGTTTTTGTGGGAAAAGATACATTGACCATTTCTCTAGCTACCTTGAATGCAAGTCTTGGGTGACTGTGTTAAGGCTTCACCCTCCAGCAAGGTGTGTGAAACTTACTCTTTTTACATTCCATCAGTGCTTTAGAGAAACTTTTCCACTACTGGGTTTTTTGTAATGGTTTTGGAAACCATTTATAAAACAGTCTTAAAAGGCATCAAGGTGAGTTAGCTATTTCACTTTTCCAAGTGGAAATTGATGGGGAAAAAAAAATTAAGGTGCTCTCACTTCCTAAGCGCTTTTTGAAGAGGAGAGACAGTATGTTTGTCCTAGCAGCCTCAGGATTTCGTCCATTGTTTCTGCTGCAGTTCGTAGGAGAGATTTTCTGCCCTATGAGTGAAGGGAATGATAGTCCTTCATAAGCTCAGGTTGAATTGGGGTATCCAAACTGTGGAGTTGACAACTGAGATGTTTCTTATTTGTTGTTTTTTGTAGCATTAGTTTCACTTTCAAGGTATTATGCCTTGAAATAGTTTCTTTTATCACCACATAAATTGCCACTACGAGGGGAAGGAGATAATGTTTTGCTGGTGAAAAAGAAAGTGAGGGTGTGGACTGTGCTGCTGTCATTCTCTCAGAAATGCTTTTTTGCTTTTTTTGTGTGTGTGGCTTTTTTTTTTTTTTTTTGAGAGAACAGATGGTGAAATACTGACTTCAGAAAATAGTCAGAGTAAGGATTTTGAAAGGTAGTACTGATGATTGAAAGGATGTTTCTATGTTGGAGAATGTATATTTACATACCTGTATATTTGCAAACCTGTATATTTACAGGTTTGGAGGAGAATCAGCTGCTGTTGTCTTTAAGTAGCTCCTACTTTAGTCTTGCTCAGGTGGTGGGATACCTACGTTGGTATGATTTCTTCCTGAAAGTGGAAGATGATACTGTCTTCCTCACTCTGTCATTGAGATCAAATGCTTTGGTTTTCTAATTGGCGGTGATTACTTCCCCTCCTCCCCACTATAAAGATGGGTTTATGGATACCAAGTGTCTTCTGTTTTGAACTAAGATATGTCTTGTACCATTGTAGTGGTTTCTTAGTTACTCTTCTTCACACAAATCAAAGAGAAAGTTGGTGTGCTGAGACATCTTCTGTCCTTTCCCAGCCTACTGGGCAAAATGGAGTTCCCTGCCATAGAAATTGTGTGTGTCTTTGGTCTTCCTGAGCATAGGTCTCCTTTTACCTTCTTTCAGGCAGTATTTGAATCTGTTATTATTAAGATATGACACTTTCTGTTGTGTTTAAGCTCCCTTCGGAGGAGTCGCATCTCACCTTCTCTCATGGTCTGTGGGTTCTGCTCCTTCAGCTCCCCTAACCTGCTGATACTCAAATGCTGGGTCAAAGTTCTGATGAATGGTAGTATAGCTATTCCTGCCAGTTGCCCCTCCTGTCTCCTGCTGCTCTGAAGGCTGTAGAAAGGTGGCAATGGAAGGGGGAGACCAATATTCTTAGTACATCAAGTGAGCACACCCAGCCAGGTTAGAATGCCAAATCAACTTGGTATTCAGAGAACTAGCTATTCAGCCTGTGCGTGTTTGAAAGAGATTGTTCAGGGTGATTTTCTTGCTTTAGAAAGATGAGTCTTGCAGACCTCTAAGGGATGACTAACAAAATAAGAGTAGGTTTTTCACCCTCAGTGAGGGTGAGGCAACCAGCCAGTGTATTACTTTCAAAGACAGCATATGCTCTCCCATCTATGTCTCTTACAGTATTATATTTTTATCCATCGTGATGCATTTGTTATGTTTTCAGTTTAATTTAGACTGTAAGATGCTTGGGGTAAAGAGTGATTTTTTTTTTCCTTAATTTAATTTTATAGTTCACATTCACCTAAGAAATATTACTGGGACATTGAAATAATTTTTGTAGTGCACCTACTAATTCATTTATGGCTCTATATTTTTTCATTTTTGGCATTACTTTAATGTATTTTTGCAAAGAAAGTAGTCGTTTTTGGATGACTATATGTGTACTTAGCACTGATGAGTTTGTCTCAACTTACTTTTTTCATAACATTAATACTAGATTTTTATTTTCTATAAAGTCTTGGTAACAGGGCAGGAATTACTAACTCAAAAGGAGATTATGATTGCTTTTTGAGGGGCATAGGTAATCAAGAGAAACCTAGGAAATGGATAGAAAAATTTCTAAATGAACTTGGTAGTGCTTCTTCTGGGTGGTACTTCGAAGAAAATGAGAATACAGATCAGCAGAAAAGTCAATTCACAGCACTTGATTTTTAACTGTTCCTTTTTTTGTTTTATTGTATAAGTGTAGGCTAATGCTTTTTTAAAATTTATTTTTAAGAAACAATCCTTTTGAAATAAAATGAAATGGATTTATGTTGGCTTGTCACTGCCCATACATAAGGTGTAACAAAAATATGTGGTTTTGTCAGGGAATGGTTGTGGGCTGTTTGTGGGGTCCAGAAATGGTTATAACTATAGATACTGGAGTGTTTGCTTGTATAGGAAAAGGTACACATCTGTCTTGAGTTAACAGTGGCTTCAACCTCATTTTTTCAGCTCTGTGCTTTTTTTTTTATTATTTTTTAAATATGACAGACTACAGGCTTTTGGGAA